TCACTTTGGACATATAAATGGAGAGCATTATCATCTGTGTAGAACACACATCAGAGAGGAGTTTCTGGCATGAAAATATGAAAGTTGTGGGTTAGCAAGACCTGTTGACAGTTTTTTCAGGACTTCCTTTTTTTGTAAGTTTTGAAAGTGTACATGTTTTTTCAAATTAAAAACCATGATACAAAGTGAATGTATTATAATGATTCTAAAGAGGGTAGTGATTAAAATCTTAATTTACTTTAGTCTATAGCTGTAGGCTTTGATCAGGAACTAAGAGTTCAATTCCTGTCATATCATAAGTCATATGATTCACACAGGTAGCAAATGACAGCCAGTGGTGGCAGCTAATACCATGGGGTGGCAATTGGCTTGCTGAACCATGTCTGTGATTGAAGGGACACTTTCAGCTGCTGATTCTGTAAGACTGTTAGACAGGAGCGAGTCAAAGAAATTTTTCAGAGGACAAAATTATCTAATCTTGCTTATTAAGATTTAGAAAGTTTAACTTGCACTTCTGGAAAAGCAAAAGAATATCAAAAATTGTTGTTTGGTTTACTTCTATTAGTGATACTTCTTTTTGTAAGCATTAGAATGCCTTCTTGGCAGCCTGTCCGGCTTAATAAAATGTTCACAGAATTAAGAAATTAGTGTACTCTTTAAAACAGAAGAAATACTTCAGAAACCTTGGCCTTCAATTGGAACTTTTCTAAATCAGAATCTGTATTGTCTCCTAGAAGGTCACAGTAGGCTGGCTTCCCAGGTAGGTCTATTAACATAACCATGATTCCTGTCTAGGAATCATATCCCCACTAATGTTTCAAAAATTATCTTTCTAATAAACCACCAAGGAACTAATTTTGACTCAGGTTTATGTGAAGGGAGGCTGATCTAAGCAACTAAGTAGGGCTGCTACGCTCTACATATATAACCATTCATTTTTTTCCCATTAAGTTTATTGGTACATTTTAGGTATAAAATACAGTTGCATTCATCATTGGGATCTTGTACCATTACATGAGTATCTTGGTTCTTATTTTTTTCCCCTTCCCTTGCCCTCCCTTCATCCTCTTCACCC